AGAAAACAGGGATGGGGAGAAGTGGCTACCGACGGCAATATAATTGAGATCGAGAGAGAGAAGTGAACCATGAGCCGGTGAGCACTGAGCAGCTTTTTCTAGGGATATAGGGTTTTCTTTAAACCCTTTGATTCCTCAGTGTCGGTAAGATATATATGAAAGGGCAAAACAATACTCATTTTTTATTGCTAAAAAGAAAAAAATTTAACAATAAACTAATGCATGGATTCTAATGGGCTAACCGCTAACCATAGAATAAAAGAGTTGAATGGGTCTAACTCATACGGGATTTGACCATCAAGTTTCAAGTAAAACAAATGAACATCATGGGTTTGCCATCCTAAAACATGCTATTATCTCTAGCATAACATATATAATTCTATTATTTTATATCTTAGTGGCTAAAATATAATGTATTTTAAAGTTATTAAATGGTTCGACCTCGACCAACCTGATTAGTCCAATTTTTCTAATTTCAAATATATATTATGTAATTATTTGATATCCTAATGATTAAATTATAGTGTATTTTATAGGGAATTTTTTATTCAGTTTTCTGGAAACCTTTTTTATTCACTTCTCTCTCCTCTCTCTCCTGAAGTTAATAAATAGAGGACCTCTTCTCCCATTTTGAGACAGTTGATTTTGAGATAGAAATTTCTAGTTAGAGAGAGAAAAGAGAGAAGTTGGAGGAAGGAGAAGGATGAGGAGTTAGAGGAGAGGAGTCATCTTCTTCAGCATCAAGTCTTCCCCAAATTTTTCTATGTACTTTCCTCCTTTATGGAGGATCTCTTAAGGTGTTAGGGGTTTTAACCCCAAACTCTTGTTTTAGGGCGCTATTATGTAGTGAATGAATATGTTAGGGTTTTGATGAATGTGTTTGTCTAATTGATTTTAATACTTTGTCTAGCTTTAATTATGCTTGGGGTTAGTGCCCCTAATCTTCTCTACTAGCCTACTTGAGCTTCTACGTTGGGTATTGAGTTTTAGGGTTAGACGGGTATGCGTCATATGGCAGATTAGGGTTAAATGAATGAATAGGGTCTTGTGCTGGACGAGGAAACAGAACCCCTGCCACAAGAACGCCTTCCTAGATGGAAGCCGAGATGAAATGTCAATATGGACGGTGGGTAGTACTCATTAAAAGAGCTAAGTTCTTAAAGTCCTGGATATGTGAGCCTATACCGAGGTGATAATGGGGTAGGTAGGGCGTACTCGGAGGCGTGTGGATAATCACGAAGGCCCACGAAAAAAGAGCCCTCTCATCACATTCGCTTAACCCAACATGTTTAGACATTTGCATGATAGACCTAGACTAGGGCGAAGGTTAGTTCCCCGATGTACCTGCTTTAATTTATCCTTGTTTATTCTCTGTACTAGTTATTTCACTTGAATCCTCCAACACAACCCCTTAAATCGATCGGCTAGATAACAACAACAAGTGAACTAGGCTAGGGTACCGGTTGTCAGTGAATACAACCTTGATTGCCACTATATGATAATGTCATTATAGGTTAAACTTGGCCTAGAATGAGGTAGTTATTGATACGTGCAAACTACTGACAATGACTTGCACGGAATGAATTGATCAACAACTTCTAGAGAAATATACAAAATTTCCAATTATGTAAAGGTGTCATTTAATAGACTGATTGGATTAACGAAAAATCGAAAATGCTGACCTAATGACATTCAATTGCCACATGGATGAACGATAATTAAAAGAAAATAATTAAAATGTGCTTTTTGGAAGATGATAAGCAGCGGCGGAAGAAATAATTATTTTTTAAATTCATGGAAATCGATCTGAAGATGATAAGCAGCGACGAAAGACAACCCAATTCATGGGGGAAAATCCCTGTTACAGACCGTTTAGTAACAAATGAATCGAGAATTCATTTCATTGTAAAATGAATTACCGTGTCGAATTCATTGTCAAATGAAATTTTGTGTTTGGTATGTCATATTCAAATCTTTAGAAATAAAATGAATTGACATGTATAATTCATTGTCAAATGAATTCCTGTGCTTGGTATGTCATATGTATAAGTAATTTAGTTAATAAAAAGTAATTTAATAAATACTTGTGGAATTCATTTGGAAATTCCATCTCAATTCCTTGAAATTGCTATAACTAGCTCCACTTTCGTAAAATTCAAAATTTAGAATTGAAAATGAATTCATTTAAATGCCAAACACAAAAATATTTCATTTCAAAATGAATTCCTCAAAACTTATGGAATTCATTTATACCAAACGGTAACTAATTATTTTTGTATTTCATTTCAAAATGAATTCCTCAAAACTTATGGAATTCATTTATACCAAATGGTCAGTTGGAATTGGATTTTTGTATTTCATGATGAGTAAAAATAAGTACTAATTATTTTTTAAATTCAAATATGATGTGGCATCTACGTGGAAAATCTAGTTGAGTTTTCGTTGACGTATGCGTTTATTTGACATCCTATTCATCCTATTTTTAAATTAATTGACGAGATCTATAGCACCGTTAAAGTTTGTAACTGAAATAGCTAGATTTCTCTCATCTACTGATAATCGGCTTTAACATATTGAATTTTTGGACTTTATGTAATTATCCATAATATGTTTAAGCCGATTGGTGTTATTTTAGGGCTCCCTAATCTGAGAATGGTTGAAAAACCATTACTGCCTAGTGCCATGAGTTTGATGTATTACATGTGAAGAAAACACGAAAAAGGAGAAAATTGCATAGGCAACAATCGAGTGGAATCACTAATGGAATAACAATTTGGCCTGGTCCAAACAAAGTACAAAGAAAGTATGATACTAGCGGGCTTTTGGTTGGAAGATAGAATTTGGATGAAATTAAAAACTTGATCCGGCTGGAGGAAAAGTGGGCCGAGCTTCCATGGGGACCCAATTAATTGCACACGGAATCAATTGCTGAGTCTGGGAAGGCTTGGGACGTTTTTTTAGATGGGAAGAGTTTTGGACGGAAGTGTTTTGGGCCAGGGTTGTTGGACGGAATTGGCTTTTGGAAGGAAAGAAGTGGACGGAAGCTTCTGGGGGGAAGAAAACGGAATTGAAAGGAAAAGGGAATTAGCTGAGGAGAGGGGTCTCGGGCGAATTATTCTTGGAAAAAGAAGCAGAGGGCAGCGGAAGCTTGGGACGCGAGCGCAGGGCAATTATCGATCAGTTTTTCAGGCGGCTTGAGCTGAGTTCAACGAGAGCGATTAATTGGTTGGATTTTCTGAACCGAACTAGTTGTATATTGTTGATTTAGAACATGATGAACAAAACCCTATTGTTTTATCTTAATTTTATCATGAACTAAACCCCAATTTCTGGGGGAAACACCATAGGATGTAGCTAGTTCTTGATTTGATGGATTGATTCATGATTTTTTTCTTCCAATCTCTATTACATGAAATTACTTAATGCTTTGTGTTGACTGGCCACCAATACAATGAATCGTAGTTAATTAGGTTATTAGCGACAGTGAAACCCTAATAACTGAACATATTTCATGTGACATAGCAACTTATCGAAGCGACAGTGGATTAAATAAGGTGTTATGCGGTCTTGATTAGGATATCGATCTTCAGACTATATAGTTAATTCATTGAGCTACGACAGTAGGATTTGAATTGATTATTTAGTACGTAGTAATTCCCGACAGGGATAGCTAGCACAGTAGTGATATCCTGGCTGTAGAGATATGGATTAAATTGATTGGAATGTGTGAATTAATCTGGATAGGATAGGTAGTGAATCCCGGTGTTTCTCCTAGAGCTTTCTCTCATTGATTTAAACCCGACAAGTTTAATTTGCTTAATTAGTTTAATTATTTTGCTAGTAGTTAATAATCTCATTCAACAAGTTTCACCTATAGTTTGCTCTACAAAATTAATAGAACTTAAGGTTGTACCAGTCCCTGAGAGACGATACCCGGACTTTCCGGTTTACTACAAGATAGGATTATCTACCATCCAAAATTCTAACTATTTTATGTAATTATCAAAAAATGGTTCTTATTATCACAAACGCGAAAATTGTGACGGTTGCCTACTCTGCATCTAGAAAATGCATACGTCAGCATGTGGAGTTGCGTAAATTGAGATGGAAGGCGCGTTTATAAGCTAAGGGAACGTGCAAGCTATCCATAATGGGACCCATAAAAACAAAAAACGGCTTCACGACGTAACGGACGGACGGTGATATTAATAATATCATAAGAGTCTTTAATGTTGGACAAATCCAAGCCCTCACGAAACCAAATGATAACATGAAGCAAACACACATGCATCATTAATTCATTACCCAGGTACGCGTATTAACGCATTTCTTCCTTCACAAGCAACTCCTGGAGCCGCCCTATGAATTGAACCTCAAATCGCGTTTGGTAGAAATGAATTCTATAAGTTTTGAGGAATTCATTTTGAAATTACTTCTACATATATTATTTGGCGCCAATTGGTGGAGTATGAGAAATGTCACCAAGCATTTGATTGCAACGCTAGTAGCATATGCTAGTTATTTTATATTTTTTTCCGCTTCGGTTGTATCAGTACTTTGAGAAGGCACAACCAGATTGTAGGATTTCATCCACGAAAATATTAGAAAAGAACTAATTATTAGAATAGAAACACACACGAGAACACTTTTGATATACCACGTATGGGATCAAAGACGTTTTTTTAGAAGATCAATGAATATTGTTTTTCCCAACATATACCAAACTTGGGTTTGGGAATTCGATTCGTTTATTTTTAAAGATTGAATATGACCACCAAACATAGAAATTCATTTTGACAATAAATTATACGCCGTAATTCATTTTAAAAATAAAATGAATAATGAAACATTCCGAAGAATTGAAGTTATCTACTACATCCATTTCCATCTAGAGAATACTATATTCAAAAGTACGTCAGTCAATCAATATATATCCATTCATTACCATCCCATCATAACCATAACTTCCCAAGAAAATGGACATAGTAGCTGCAGCCTCCATGCTGTCAACCTCCACCTTTCATCATCATCATCATCCATTGCTGCCAGCTCTATCTTCATCACCCGGCCGCCGGCGGAGATCCTCAGCTGTTCTCGCTTCCTTAAGCGGCGGCGGCGGCCGAGCGGAGAACGAGGGGAGGAGAGCGGTGGACGAGAGCTTGGTGGTGCTAAGGATGCGGATCAAGGAGTTGAAGGCGGCGGAGAGGTGCGACCACCCGCCGTCCCACTGGATGGAATGGGAGAAGCGCTACGCCGCCCACAACGCCTACGGCTCCGACGTCTGCGACGCCGTGGGCTTGCTCCAGAACCGCCTGATGGACTCCAGGCCCAGCCTGGCGCTGGGAGCGGCGGTGGTCGTGCTGCTGAGCTTGCTATTCTCCGCCGGGGTTGTTCTGGTCTGCGGCGTCGAGATTGTCAGGCGATTCCTCGGTTGCGTCTCCTGGCTGTTCTTCCTCAATTTATAATTAAAACTACTCATTAATTCCGTATTCACAACATGATTAGTATTTGTACGCGCCGAGATCGAGTATAACTCACGCTGAGTCTCGCTGACGCGTACTCAAATTTCCCAACCATGATTAATATATATATATTTCCTTCACCAAAAATCTGAAATCTGCATCAAAAAATGAAAGGTTTGGGTAGTTATAATCACTGCTTTTACCAAAAATATGTCATGTGTTCATACTACAAAAAAAAATGTCATGTTCGCGATTTTGTCTTTGAGTGAAGCTTTTAGGTGAAGATAGTGATCCAATTATGAGATTCCTGGCCTCTTCGTGATGGTTTCTAGGTAAAAGTACTCATTCATCTTAGTTGTGAGGTTTTGAAATTTATGGTTAGGCTTTAATTTAGAATGTTTCCTTTGGTTTACGACATAAATTAAGTTGGCAATTTTCTCGCATCAATGACTCATCATAGGCTTAGTTATAACAAGAAATACTATATGATGTTATAACTGCAAATGTATTGTATATCGTTGTTACATCATGAGTCGTGAGGAATGTGCTCTATTATTATTATAATAAGAAGAAACAAAGGTTTACAAAAATTTAGTGGACAGTCTCAATACAATATGGACCTCTACTCTTTTAGCTATAACAAGGTTACAAAAAATGTATGCGGCCGCCCAATTTCCTACATTCTGAGACACAGAGAGAATTTTTGTATCCACTTGAGCAAAGTCACACAGCTGTCGTATCCAACTCTCACAGCGAAGAAAAAGAAAAGGACAGGAAACTGTAACCAGTCGCCATACACAAGTCTCGATACTTGACACACATTCGCTGAGTAGCATCATCAACAACTCGGCCCGACACAAAACCAGTAATCCCAGTCTGAGTCAAAGGTGTTTACTCAGTCAGATCAACACGCACATCTCGCACCTTGTCCCAGGAATTAGGGGTGGAAATCGGTACGGTATCGATGTCTCAATACCAAATACTGAAATCCCGAATACCGAATTACACCCTAGAATCAATTCCAATCCCAATCACTAAATAATTTCGGAATCCCAAACCCAATTCCTAAATAATTTCGGTATCCCAATCGGTACTTCGGTATCCCAATCGGTATTATAAAATACGAAAATTAATTATCTTTACAATTAATAATTAAGGGTCACGCTGGTATGCTCCAGACGCATAGCATGCTCTAGACCCTCCGGACCATTGATTTAATCTAACGGTGGTGTTGATTAATTCAAATTAAATTATTTATTATCTACAATTTCAAATAAATAAGTTGATGCCAATACATTTTCATACGGCCTCTTTAGTCACTATACAAACTTTTTCACATAATTTTATATTACAGTACCTAATGTTCTCCGGCCACCAGAATTAAGTTCAGGGGACGCCAACTCCTCTCTTCATTGCAGCCTCTGTCATTGTTTCCACAGCTTAATTTTCCTGGCCGCCGTACACCGTCAAATGGTTTGCCATCGTTGCGAAAGGGAGCAATCCGCTAGGAGCTTATCTAACACCCAATTGCCGACCTCGCCGTAATCCCATCCCCATCTCTCTACGACGGAAACCCCACGTTCTGTAGGCACCCACATCCCACCGGAAACCCCTACCCGCCAAAACTCGGGTGCGGCGGCCTGTCAACGAATTCTCCGGCAGCCTCTCCCTGACATTGATCTAGAAAACCCCAACTCATCGGCGTGATTGAACCCTTGATGGGAGGAAACTCTGCCTCGAATTCTTTCCCTTTATTTCTTTTCGATCTTGTTGTATAAAGAACGACGATGGCAGGAAACTAATCGCCTAGTATCCCGATTTCCGGCAATGGCCGTACCGCAACCTCTATTTTCCACGGCATCCTTTTGTGGTCGTACGCCGTCAACTAATTCCGGTGGTCACTTTAGGGGTTTAGGTTTTGATGGTTGTTGGATTAGCATGATGATTGTAAAACGGAGGTTAGTTAATGGGGGTAGTTGTGATGAATTGATGATGAGTCGATGATGATGGTCGAAGGGCTTGGGGTGAGGCACGATGAAATTGAAGATCCACGTTACAATGGAATTTTATTATCAATTATATAAATCTTCGGGTTCAGTAAAAACCTCTACGAAATAAAGGTGTCATATGAGAAAATATAATGGTAATTATTGTCGGGGACTTCATAGCACATTAAAGGATTCAATTTGTAATTTAATTCTTAATAAATACATAATTATATATATATGGTGGCGTCTTCGGTGCATTCACTTTTTTGGGTGCATTCAGCGCACTCGCTTCATAACCGTCATTTTAAACATGCGATTTATGTCAAAATGATGTCAATCATCACTTATGATGTGATGGACAATAACGCACATGAATTTGCACAAAAACCATTGAAGATTTACTTTAATTTGAAGGATTTAGAGTTTAGAGATTTAGGGTTAGGGTTAGAGTTTATAATTTGGGGTTTAGGGATAGAACTCAAAATTGGAGGTCTAGGGCTTAGGATAATCCGCTAATTAGTTGTTATATATCATATGTTATATCATCATATTACACTAATTCTACAAATTAAAATTCAAAATCTCACACCTTAAGACTAGTTTTGAGTAGGGTGCATTGAACGCACCCATTTTTGTGAGTGCACCGAAGTAGTCACCACATACACACACAGATATATATATATGGTGACGTAAGCGACGCACCCACTTTTTTGGGTACACTCAGCGCACACGCCTCATAATCATCATTCTGAGCATGCGATTCATGTCAAAATGGTATCAATTGTTGCTTATGATATTATGAACAATAAACCCATGAATTTGAAGAAAAAAAATCATTTAAGATTTACTTTAATTTGAACGATTTAGTATTTAGGGGTTTAGGGTTAGGGTTTAGGTTTACAGTTTGAGATTTTGCATTGGGATTCAAAATTGAAGGTTAAGGGGTTAGGGTAATAGTTTGATTTGTTATGATTCTATGTCATATCATCATGTTAGATTGAGAGTACTAATTAAAGTTCAAAATTTGATGTATTATGGACACTTTTAGAAACGGGTGCACTGAATGCACCCAAAAAAGTGAGTGCACCGAAGTAGCCACCCATATATATATATATATATATATATATATATATATGGGCAGTTCTACGGTGCCAGGGCAAAATCCGGGGTACGGGTAACCGGGGGCAAGGAAAATTACCAAAAGCATCACGAAGCGTTTATGCTTTATTCATTGGACTTCAACCTAACTGTACCCGGTTTAATGATATCGATTAAGAGGTTAAACCCTATGGATACGACCCGCCGCCCTAACCAATTTCCAGTCTCCCTTCTACGATCCCTCATTCGCCTTGGAGGGTCCCCTCTAAGTTCGAAGTTCGATCATAAGCTGCCTATCAAATCTGAAATCTCCAACAAAATCATCGTTTCGAAACCCAAATCCTTTTATTATTTGATCCACATTCGATTTAGCTCCCTATCCAATCTCAAATCCCCAACATCATCATGTTTCATACGCCAAATCTATGTATCCACATTCGAAGAGAAGATCCCCATCCAATATGAAATCCTCACATAATCATCGTTTTGAACCCCAAATCCTTTTATCCACAAATCGACGTTTTGTTCATCGCCATTTTATTTCCGTGCGGAATTTACTCGCCTATCTCTTTCTAACACGATTACGGCGACCATGTCTATTATTGTGTTCATCAAACTTTTCGTTTGCAAAAGAATCCTTGAAAGAGGTTTGCTAACCCTAGGGTTCATGTCGCTAGTGCTTTGTCATCTTGTCTTAGCGTTATTGTCATTTTCTCGAAACTTCTATCACTCGGTGAAATTAAGGTTTCCTGATATGCAGTGTTCGTCTCGCCCAGAGGATTGAGGAAGGAGATGAAGAAGACCTAATTTGATTCGAATCAGATGGAGAGGTCTCCTTAATTTGTGTTTATGTATTAACGGTGCGTTTAGGACTAATTCTAGTTGGACTGGGTCTGAACATTGATTTTTGCAGGCTTTTCAATAACATTCAAAAGTGGGCTTGTACATGACCCATGACACCTAGTTTGTTGATAATGGATACTGACTTCCGGATTGTCATTAGGTTGGGCCTTTGATAATTGTCTATCTCATTGGCGATTCTTTGTTTTACTTATTTTCATCTGCTTCTGCTTCTAAAATCCTGATCATGCATTGAGTTCACGCAATTTAAACATAATTATGTGTTCCATCTTTTTTGGGATTTGGTAAATGCTAGCGTGTCTCTTTACACATTTAGCGGTACGAGGTAAACTACAATCCGCCCAATTTAACTCTTCATTAATTGAGATCCTATTCCACTCTCTCACCGATTTCCCCTCTTTATGCAATGCACTCGTACATAACAAACCTCTTGTAGACTAATTAGAGGCTTGTGGTTGGATACTGAGTGAGGATATTTTTTTAATTTATGTTTTGAAACGAAAGTTAGAATTTCACTTTTGAAGTACCTATGTACTTTAGTTGGCCAAGTATTTTCAAAATGTAAAATTTTATCAGCGTATAGGTATACGATTGTTGTATAAGGTGTTGATGTTAAAGGAAATGGGTACTGACGGCTTAGGGTATTAGGTTGTTGATGGTATAGAGTATATGGTATATGGGTAGGTCATAAGGTGTTGATGGTTTAGAGCATATGGTATCGATTGGTTAAAGGGTGAGGGTAGGTGTTGTCTTATTTTTTCTCGATTTTATATTTTCTTTATATCTGCTTATAAATGCTGATCATGCCTTATTACTAAAAAAACTTAGACATAATTATTGTAGCGTGACACATTTATCAGTACGAGATAAAATGATTTGGTGTGTGCAAGGTAGGTTCCTATTATCTATTTTGCCTTGTTGGTTATCCTTGTTGGTGATCCCGGCCATTAGCGATTCGCCACATATGGAATGAAAATTAGTTAGAGTTATTAAGTTTATCTTTCTTCATTTATTGTTTGATTTGAACCTGCGTGTTTTTGGTCCGAATGATTTTGT